CCATGTATCTGCACTGCTTTAGCGGGCAGATCTAAGTTCAACGTTCGAAATGTACTTGGCAAGGGGCAGCGACCAGATCAGCCACGTTTTCCCCCACGTATATGAGCTGCTGAAACAGCTAGATTATCGCCCATGTATCTGCACTGTTTTAGCGGGCAGATCAAAGTTCAACGTTCAAAATGTACTTGGCGAGGGGCAGCGACCAGATCAGCCCCGTTTTCTGCCTTCCCTTCTCACCTAATCTCACTCTTCCCTCAGTACTCTGCTTCTCTCCCGGCATACGCACACTAGCATTGTGTGTCTGACCAGATCTGCATTTCGTACTTACTGCAAAGAGAAAGCCTTTACGAAGTATCTCGCCGCTTCTTCTCACCGCATGACAAGGCGATACCCATATACCAGTCTTCAGTGCGCTGGTGCGCTGCCGTGTCATCAACCAAATCCCTCTCTCACACTCGCACCCTCAATAACACTTCTCCCTTCGTCTTCCTGCGTAACCGCGTGGGCGCCGATGTCTTCGCCTCGAGCCCGTCTCGCACTCCGTGACTGTCTGCGACTCTGCGGTGCACTGCGTACACCTCGCATGCTTCCCCAATCCTCCGTCTGTCAACTGCCCCAGCCTGCCTATCGCGCTGGGCACACCGTGCACATCCCCCCTGTAGAATGACTGGTTCCTCCCTATATCCCCTTCCGTTCAGCTCTCGGCCTTGTTTTCACCTAGGGCGCTCAGAGAAGGCCACAGTCCTTCGCTGTTCCCAAACCGCTCGGGGCTGGGCCCCGGTCAATCGCAGCACCCGGCACCCCGGACTGCGCCCGCTTGATGACCATTCCCAGATCAGTACTTCGGGATCTCAATTTCCCTTATCAGACCTGAAGGCTGAGCCGCGCAGGTGATAATCGTAAGAGGCCACAGAGAGCTCTAGCCATCTAAGCAGCAGGTATGCCTATACCGAAATCTGATAATGGTTCAGTGACCCACACCGCACTGATGGCGCACCGATCCTGAACAAAGCTTCCCTGTTCCATAGTGTGCCGTGGAATGTAGCCACACTGGTGTAATCCCAAACCTGAACCTGAGTGCCGCACCCATACCAAATCATCACCGAAACCTGCACCTTTGTCAACGTCACGTCGAGGTAGTTTCGGCCTGAAAATGAACCAACATAGTGTCCCGGGTCTGAAATAATCCGCAGCGCTGGTGCGGAACCTGAAATGAGTTACCGTAGTGGTTCGGGTCCTGGAGATACCCCCTTCGGATGGTCCCGAACCCGAAAATAGGTCGCGATGGTGAATACATCAGTGTAGTCATCCCGAACCTGAAATAGACTGGCGTAGTGGTCCCAAAGCTGAAATAAACCGCCATAGTGGTACCAAACTTGGAATAAATGGCCGCAGTGATGGTGCCGAGCCTGAGCTAGATACCCGTGATAGCGCCGAACCTGGAATAACCTGCCGTCCAGGTTCCGAACCTGAAATACATCGTCATAGTGGCTCTAGACCTGAAAGTAAGCCACCGTAGCGGTTCCGGCCCTGAAACAAATAGCCATGATGATGCTGATCCTGAAATAAATAGCCGTGATGATGTCGACCCTGGAAATAAATCACCCCGGTGCCCGAACCTGAAGTACACGAATACTGGCTCAGGCCGAACCTCAAACATGTCCGGTACCGAACCTGACATCATGCTGTCGGTCCAATGTAACACGATCCCACGCTGTCCATATCCATGTGGCCATCGCCCGTACTGTCGGGCTCAGTAAGGTTAGTAATCAGGTAAATAGGGAACGCGTTATAGAGAGTTTCGATCTTCGATCATAGGGGAGCTCAAGGAATTTGATCAAATCTGGGTTCTGAGCTGACGGTGGGTATCCCAAGCAAAACCAGACCAGGTATCGAATAATCATTAGCTCCTGTTTGTTCCATCATTTTTAATCGTTCTCCCTTTTCCTTAATTCTATTGTCTGAAATAGTGAATTAGCCGTAGGTTCACCAAAAATGAATTCTGAGGGAGTTTAATCAAATGGTTGAAATTCTCTCTTTTCTTTTCTCCCTTACCATTTTAAATCTTTTTCTCTGGTCTTCTATTTCATTGCCGGAAACATAAAATAACGAGGTATTTTCCTCAAAATTTAAATGTCCCGAAAAATAAGGGAACTAAGGGATATTACGTTTTTCTCTTCCCTCCTACTGTCCCCAATCTTTTCTCCCATCTTTAGTTTAGGGACAAAAATAGACAAAAATTTGAGGCCTCATTTCAGCCCCGGTCGTATGCCGCAAAAACGTTGTGGCGAAGTCAGTTCCCGCGATGCCTCTCCGCGGCAGGCCAATCTGAGTCTAGCTCTCTAAATGGCCGGGAATGACGGTCCCTAGACGCGCCGAGTGTGGCCACTTATCTCGCCATCTTTGAGGATTACTCGTAAGGCTCAGTGCACCCAGAATCAGGGGTGCCCTGAGTTCCCCTGATTTTTGCTGCCTGGTCATACGAGAGTACCATCAAAACACAGACTTGTCCCTGAGCCTAAGTCCCAAAATTGCAGATCTCAGGCGGCGCACTGCTTGCGGCCGCCTGACACCGTCATCGAACACGCGACTGAAGGGAAGACCACGCTCCTTCCCGTACCATCCTAGGATTGCGGCCGGCAGACCATGGCTGAAGATGGGACTAACCCGGGAGGTGTGGCAAGATAGAATGGATAATGCGCAGTGCCTCAAATGTGGCATTGCGGGGCATGTCATTGCCTTTTGTCCGTTGATTAGGAACTCAAAAGGGAGCAGCCAGTAGGAATAACATCTGTTCCTACAGAGTCGGAGGGTGCGATCACATGCGAGGCGCCTATGATCCCTTTCCACACTCCGACTCTCGTGGCAGAGTATGGAAACCCTTCCGCCCGTCGTCCAGACCACCCTACTCCTGTCTTATGCTTGTCTCTGGACGACTCCCTTGCCGAGCTTGGTAGCGAGTTAGTCGCGTTACGCAGTTCGTGGGCGAAGAAAGCCAAGTCTAAGGGTGAGTTGTTGATTGCTGACTTGGTAGTCAATCGCACACACATTGGTGCGATGTTGGACCTTGGGTCCACACGATCTTACATGTCCGAACGTGCAATCCGTAAGTTGCATCTCGGCATGAAGATCCAGACTTTGTCTGAACCAATCACGTCTATTCTAGCTGACAAAAGTACGATGACAGTAACGCAACACGTTGATCGTGTTCGTTGTATGTTCAGTACCAAGGATGGGAAGAAGATTTGGCATGAGCTTCCCTTCCTGATCGAGAAGAACATGCCGTCTGATATCATCTTGGGAATGGATTGGCACGAGGAAGCTGATCCCAAGATTGATTTCAAACAGAAAGAAGTAAGAATTAAGGATGAATCGTCTGAGTTGCAACCGGTTAAGTTCTATCACCGGTCAGGGTCTGACTCTGTCTTATCTTTCTGTTGCATGAGCTACCCTGCATTCCGATCACTGGTTGCAAAGAAGAAGTTAGAGGATGAGGTAGTAATGTTGTTAGTTAAGAAAGCAGGTGAGTCTTCAACTACCCATCCTCCTGGGATAGATGCACTCCTAAGGGAGTTCGCCGATGTTATGTCTGAGCTTACCGGGGTCACTTCGCGTGCTATCAAGCACACGATCGAGATCATGCCCGGTAGCAAGGTTCCCAAGGGTCCTATTTATCGCATGTCTCCAAGGGAACTTGAGGAACTYAAGAAACAATTGTCTGAGTTGAMGGAGAAGGGATGGATTCGCCCTAGCTCCTCTCCTTATGGTGCACCTGTCTTATTTGTGCCCAAAAAGGAAGGTGAGTTGCGCCTTTGCATCGATTATAGAGGGCTAAATGCCGTCACCGTCAAAAACGCCGAACCTTTGCCAAGGATCGACGATCTCTTGGATCAGTTGCAGGGTTGTAAGGTTTTTAGTAAGATCGACCTTAAGTCTGGGTACCACCAGATCGAGGTGGATCTCGTCGATCAGCATAAGACCGCGTTTCGTACGAGATATGGTCATTACGAGTTCATCGTGGTGCCATTTGGTCTAACGAACGCACCTGCGACCTTCCAAAGGTCAATGAACGAGTTATTCAGGCAATGGCTCGACGACTTCGTCATCGTCTATCTGGATGACATTCTAGTGTATAGTAAAACACTAGAAGACCACCAGAAACATCTACGTCTAGTACTCGGGAAGTTACGCGAGGGTAACTTCAAACTCAACCCAAAGAAATCCGAGTTTGCTAAGTCTAAAGTCTTATATTTAAGACACATAGTGAACGAGGAGGGATTGAGGCCCGAGGAAAAGAAGATCTCGGCAATCAGAGATTGGCCACAGCCAAAGACTTTGACAGACCTTCGATCTTTCCTTGGTTTGGCGAGTTACTATAGGAAGTTCGTTAGGAACTTCTCTGTTATCGCTGCACTGATGAGAAGGTTGCTTAAGAAAGGTACTGTCTGGCTATGTGACTCGTCTTTTCGAAAGCTGAAATATGCTCTGACTCACTATCCTGTCCTCAAGATTGCCGACCCGTCTCTTCCTTTCATTGTTACGACTGACGCGAGTCAGTACGGTGTTGGCGCTGTCTTACAGCAAGACGACGGCAAGGGCTACCGCCCTGTTGAGTTTATGTCTAAACGTATGCCGTGCGAAAAGGTCGCCAACTCCACCTACGAAAGGGAGTTGTATGCATTAGTCTGTGCCCTAGAAACGTGGAAACACTATCTCCTTGGCAGACATTTTACCGTGTACTCGGACCACTCGACTCTCAAGTGGATCAAGACACAGCCTCGATTGTCTGACAAGTTGGTACGTTGGTCTGCTTTTATTGATACCTTTGATTTCGAACTCAAAACAATTAAAGGTAAGTCTAATGTTGTAGCAGACGCACTATCTAGGAGGAGTGATTTCTTTGGGGCTATAGTCTCTTACCTGGATGTTGGGAATGATGTGAAAGATCAGATTCGCACTGGATATGCCACTGACCCTGTCTGGAAACCAATCATGGATATCCTAGCCAAGGATTTATCCCAACTTCCTCACTACCGATTGTCTGATGGCTTACTCTTCTTGTTGGACCAGATGGAACAGAGATTCACAAGGAAGAACTTAAAAGTCTATTGATTGGGGAATGTCATGACACAGAGGGACACTTTGGGTTCAAGAAGACGTTTGCTGAGGTGCGTGAGCACTATGAATGGAAGGGTTTGAAAGAGGATGTACTAACGTATGTTCGTACGTGCCAAGTATGTCAGAGAAACAAACCGTCTCATGAAAACCCTTTGGGTTTACTCCGACCACTACCTATTCCGAGTGAGCCAGGTGAGTCTGTGTCCATARACTTCATRAAACTCACCAAGTCCCGAAATGGCAATAGTCAAGTTATGGTTGTGGTTGACCGTTTCTCTAAATATGCCATGTTCATACCCTTGCCTGCAGAGGCCAAGACTGAGCTTGTGATTGCTAAATTTCAGATGCGATGGGTAACTGAGTATGGGTTTCCCATGTCTATCGTATCTGATCGCGATGTCAGGTTCACAAGCATGCTTTGGCAGAAGCTGATGGAGGCCTACGGTACACGACTCACCATGTCGTCAGGTAGACACCCTGAAACGAGTGGCCAGTCTGAGCAAATGAACCGTATGGTCCAACAACTTCTGAGAATGTATGTCCGTCCTGACCAAATAGACTGGGATGAGAACTTACCTAAGATTGTCGGTGCATATAACAATAGTGTGCATACCGCGACGGGACGCACACCTAACGTACTGCACAAGGGCTGGAAGCCTAAGCGTCCCATTGATGTTTTAACCAGGGATCAGTTTCTTAGACTTCCACCAGGGACAAAGGAATATGCTATTATGTTTCAAGAAGACATAAAAAAGGTGAAGGAGAATTTGAGGAAAACCCAAGAGCGCATGATTGAACAAGCTAACAAACACCGACGCCCGTCTACTTTTCAAGTTGGTGACTGGGTCTGGGTTAAGTCCAAAGAGTTCACTCTAGAAGAAGATGTTTCTCAGAAACTGATGCCTGTTTATCTAGGACCCTGGGAAGTTCTCAAGGTGATAGGGGATGCCGATGGACCATCCTATCGGATTGACATTCCCCCTCATCTTCGGACATACCCCGTCTTTCACGCGTCTAAAGTGCTTCCATATATAGAAGGAACAAAATTTCCTCACCGACCATCTGCTATACCTCCGTCTATGAATGGCAGCTATGTGGTTGAGAAAATTACTGACCATGGATTCTTTTCTACTGGTGGAAGAGGCAGACCTCAAAAGCAGTATAAAGTGAGATTCCAGTTCCAAGATGCCTCTGAAGACCGTTGGTTTAGCAGACGGGAACTGATGGATACTGCTCCTGATATTGTTGCTAGCTATGAACGCGGACTGAAGTCTTAAGTATTTCTGCGGTGGAACTCGAATTTGGGCCGGCAGGAATGCAATAAACCGCGTTCAGCAGCGGCCTGGCGCTGTAATCCAAGCCCAGGCCCAACGAGCAGTGCGACCATGCGCTGCTCGGCCTCAGGCCGCTGCGGGTGTTGTATGACCACGCACAGCAAGAAATTCAAAGGTCAAAGTCAACTGTAGGTCCAGGTACCTGGCCCAGGCCCTTGGTCGTGTGCATTGACTTGTACGTGTGCAGGTACCCAGT